TCTTTATTTTTATCTTCTTTTTCTTTAATCTTCCTTCTTCGTAATATTCTTCTATAAGTATATTCCTTGCGAATAATAATTAATTATTTCGATGCAATTATTACAAATTTGCAAATTTTTCAATCGAACGTATTAGCCTCGGAAATATTTGATTTTTTTCACTGTAAAAGTTTCGTGATTTTTCGAACATCGTGGCCACTAGATGGCAGTGATGTTGTTATTGAAATAACAATTCGACGCGAGAGGGAGTTATTCCGCAAGAGGATATTGAAAAATGAGATTTCGATTAATTTTGACATTTCTTAGTGTCTAATTATTCCTTGATTAATAATCGTATAAATTCCTATTTGTATCGTGACGTTTTAATTTCCAATAATTTTCTAATATATTTCCATAATTTGATGAAAATGTTTTATACCACGCAGAATTCGTAAAATCTAGAATCGTAATTCTTCGATCTCCTTTCGAAAGGTCGAATTTTTTAAATTTTTTTTTTTTTTTTTTTCATTATATCGACGAGAGAATCGATGAGATAAAGTTTTAGAAGAAACATACATTTTCATACATTCTCGTTTGTAATGTTGGAATTTTTTCTTCGTAATAATACGTAATAATAAATTTTAGTTGCGGGTAAAATAAAGCACTCCATTTTTTTGTTAATGTTCTTCTATTTTATTTTCAACGAAACATATATATTACTTGTTTACACGGCTACTCTGCACTACAATCCTAACAACTGACTTTATTTCATCGCTTTCGTTTGTACATATATTTTATCTCATAAATTCAGCTGAACATTCTTTGTGGCTACCTCGAATGCTTCGCGTGGGTGGAGCTAATCTCGTTAACTGAAAAAGTGCATTTCGTTCGGATATATTTCTAGCGTTCCTTAGACGACATGATTTTTAAAACATTTTTGATTATTAACGATTATGTTTATTGTATCGATAATGTTTGAATTATAATTTAATCGCGAAGAATTCTTGTTAGATATATAGAAAATTACTATTTTCTTCACGAATTTTTTAGTTTTATCCTAATTTTGTTATATATTGCGTTGATATTAATTATAATATCTGTTTTCCAATTATTAAATGAAAAATTGAAATGGAACAATAATTAAATAATCACTTTACAAATTGCAAACCAATTTGTTTAACAAACAATTATAATTAGAATACAATTAGAATAATCATAATTATTTACCATTCTTTTCAATTATGAAACAACTAGGTCTAAGAAATTTTATTATATACGAGTGAAATTTCCTCAATGAAATGTAAAAGAGAAATAATAAATTCTTTGCTCGAATAGAGAATCGATGCTCGTGGATAGGGAAAGGAGATCGATAAATTAATATTCACCAGGAACATTCGAAAATTCCTGATCCTCGAATTTATAGTTAATGCACATGTTTAAGCACTTTATCGGTGTTCCGTCCTGGTATCTCGTCGTTCGATAATCGTTCCAGCCAACGCGTTATCGTTACTCGGTTTTTTAAGCAAATTGAATAATTTTGCCATCGTACGGCTATTCTATAAAAATTACCGCAAAATTTACTTTTTTATTTTTTTTTTTTTCAAGTAACCCTCTTCGATTCGATGGAATAAAATTTGTAGTCTCGTGTGAAAATAACAGGTATATAAGTTAATGGATAAAAATACTTTGAAAGATAATTATATTCTATTTTATATGTATATTTCATTTATCGAATTTAACATCGATTCAATGATTTCATCTCGTTCAATGATGAAAATTTGCAGCCTTCTGATAAATAAAAACACTTTGAAATATATTTTGAAATAAAAGGCTGTTCGTGAAAGATTTGAAATCTCGTTGTTGCTTAGAAAGGGCATATTAGAAAAGTTATCTCAGAGGATGAAGGGTAGTTTTTTCGTCAGGTGTCGTTCGATTTTATAGGCGGCGGCGGCAGCAGCATATAGCAGAGACGTCCGGTATAAAATTGCCTTCTTGCATCGAGAATCTTGAAGTGGCACTGATACGAAAATTGGTTGCGTCGACACGGCTTTATTTGATGGATCGAAGCGACAGCAAGATGAAATGGAACGGTTTACAAGCAGGAAGAGCGGACAGGTCTACAATCCGCTCGTCAATCTCTCGTGCATAGATACTTTGTTCCAGCCACGATTTGTAAAATGTAAATTTCAACCCAGAGATATGAAATCCCAAAACCTTTCTTCCAGAGAAATTAGTAATTAAAGTCACGAGAAGATTTGAAACTTTTTAGAGTTTGAGTAAATTGAATCGAATCAAGGAAAAGCTCATTTTTTGCGGATGGAAAAGAAGTTTCGACGATACTACGTGCCTATGTATTCTTGCAGTTAACGAGGATGACTTTTCTTCCCATTTTTACGCAACTTTTTCTTTTTCCTATTTAGAACCCTTATATATCAGAGATCGCATAATAATATCTAATTATTCTATGGAATAAAAGTGAAATTAGTTTGCTTTCGACACTTTAAACTTCGTATTTGGATATTCTTTATCGATATTCTTAGTTGGACGAAAAGACAAAGGTAAAAAAAGAAATTGAATGTGCACGGAGGATAGTGGAGCGTGAAGAAAGTCTATACGACGCATAGAGGACGACACTGATGGGTTAATATAAGTAGTAAAGGAAAAGATGATATTGGCCCCTTGCTGCCACTCTTAGTCTCGATCGTGATCTTCGTATTTATAACGAAGCTGTCTAGGAAAAAATACCGTGACATGCTTCGCCTATTAATTATTTAAACGAAAAAGAAGAAAACTTGTTTACATTAAATGGAGCAAATAGTTGTCGCTAATAATAAACGTAAACATCTCGATTTGCAAAAAGAAGATTTTAAGAAAAAGATTTTAAGAAATAACTCGCTTTTACGATATTATATTTTAAACTCGTGTATACAACTTAAATTAGATCGCCTGTATTATTAAACGAGAATTTGCAAAAAGATCATACAGATCTTATTTAAAAAAAAATAGGAAATCTCTACAATCTTATATAAAATTGGAAAAACTATATTTGGCTAATTTCCATGTCAAATTAATCGGAGAAGAGGCATCCTCGTCGAACAATCGAACGAAAATTGATAGGTTCGCGGTAATCATGGACAGATGGAGGACATGATTGGCCATCCTGATCCTTTTGCAACCAATGAATCAATGGAGAGAGAGAGAGAGAGAGCGCCCCTATAACTTGATGGTTTCTGGTTAAGAGCGCAGCATTGATAAACGGAGTATAATCAAGGGTTTGCGTTTACCATTGTGCGGCTCGGTTAATTGCTTGTAAACTTGTAGGCCGTGCTCGGAGGGAATGCTGCAATCTGTAACACAATTGCCAAGCTTCTGTTTCCTGTCGAGCGAACTACTTCCAGGAGAGCGAAGAAATTGAAGGATTTCTCGAGTTTAATCTTTACCCAAGTGATTTAAACTCGAACGAATGCCGAGTAAATTATTTAGAAGAAACTTCGACGACGGAACACTTTCGTTGCAGAAGCGCAGACGCAGAAATTTTCGTTAGAAAAAAAAAAAAAAAGAAGTTCGTTGAAGGATAAAATTTCGTAGGAAATTGGAAACGTGTGAAAATGTCTTATTTATGAAATCTTCGAAGACGTTATACACGTTATAGAATTTCATTTACTTCGTAGAGCAATTTCATATGGCAAACTGTTCATAACGATCTATTAGTCCATTGATTCTCCCAATTGATTATGATTTCTCGTTCGAATAATAGGAGAATTTGCGTTCAAGTAATAAATAGTTTCAATCAACGAGAATTCAATCGAACGGGCATTAACTGAAATTTCATTCGGTCGAAATTCAATCAAATGAAATTCAATCGTATCTATTCCAACACTTTATGACGATTATACGACAAAATATGACAAATCGAATAAACGCGGCACAAATCCGCCCGATGGAAATTTACAATTAAAAGATAACAGGGGATATGTCTCGCGTAATAAAACGATTAAAAAAAAAAATGGATTATTTCATCGCTCTTGGAACGACAAATTTTTATTTGCCCAAGTTTCGGTCGTCCGTTCGAATAATAATCCAACGTTTATTAAAAGTTGAAAAATCCGATTGATAGAGATGGATTTTCCATTCGGATTGTGAAAGCGCAAAGCTTGGCGTAACTTGGTGTAGTATTTGTTAATTGTTCCGAACAGGATTTAACGTTGACATAAATTTTAATGAAGTTCTCGCGTTTATAACGCGGTATCACGATCAATTTCGAAATAAATTTTAATGAATTTTACACGAGTACACGTGTGGATACGGTTAATTTTAGCATGCGCGTTTATAATACCAGCCTTCTGTGATAAATCCGACGTTCCATTGATCATTACAATTATTATTGAAATCGTTTTATTTCGAACGTATTGCGAATCCATTGAAAAGTCTCTCCGGAACGAAGTCGCGAAAAATAAATTTTACCAATGAACAGAAATAAATACGTACATATACGTGGAATCATTTTGAATATTGATTAAATATAACTTATCTCGTGATAACATAGAAATAATTAACGATTTAGGATATCTTTTAGTTTTATTATCGAAATTCGAAATTTTATTCTCAACGTTTAAAAAATAAAATGCATTCTATTTCATGAAATATTCAATGAAATAGAACTTGGATAAATTAAAATGTTTAAATAACATCGACACAATATACAATTTTAAGCAACGAACGCATCAAAAGTCATCATCAAGATCGTCTCAACTTGCTTGAAACTGCATAATTATCTAGAACGCGTAAAAAAATATTTTTACCGATATCTGGAAAACCGAAGGTAAACAGCGATTAAGGCGTATAGGAAAAAATAGTTTAAAATATCGTTCGCGACAAATTTCAAGAAATTCGAAACGAGAAGAAGATCGAAATCGCTAAAACGCTTCCTTCCGATATTTTTAGTAACCAGAAAAAAAGAAAAAAAAGAAAAAAAAAGAAAAAGTTATAAAAGGAAAAGAAAGGAATTGAAAAATTACAAATCGAAAGAAACGAGAGGAATATCGTTGGAAACGCGAGAAGGAATCGCGATATTATTTTGAAAAAAGATTTTTGCCACGAGTGTACGAACCGGATAAAATCTTCGATCAAACGATATAAAGCGATTATGTTTTGTTACGCAAAACGAACGGCGAACCACGATTGACTTTACGATTGACTCCAAAGTCGATATTGCCACGTTAAAATCGGAACTCGATTCGACTACGATCCCATTTCGCGGAGTCGACTTGTTTTCCAATCGTCGACGTTGCGAAATTGTTTGAAAGGGAAATTACATCCTTGGTTTAACACGATGACCACCGCATCGATTAACGACAACGTGGCCGAGATCCGAAAATTAAACCAATACGTGGGAGCGTTCGTAGGTGAGCTAACCTTTCTTCCATATTTCATGCATTGAAAATCTCTCCACGACTAGACAACTAAATTTCTAAATTAATAAGAATCTCCGCCGATCTTTCTTCCGATCTTTAAAGGAAAAGGTAAGAAAATTAATAAAAATTATTACTACGATCTATTTATATTAATTATTATCCATTGATGATCGATCTTTTTTTTTTCATACATTCTCTTTTTCTTAATTTATCTGGATTATTAAATATTTACAGTCGCCTCGCCCGTTATAAATTTCGGGAGTATCGCCCTTTCAATTCCTTTCGATATTTTCATTTTCACATTATAATCGTTTCGTTTCAATCGATTTTGAAAATATGAATTATAGAAATAAGAACACGAATAATGATCAAATTGCATTGCAGAATTAAGATTCATCTTCGTTTCTTGTTGAATCTTGTTGCTTTCTTCTTCTCACAATATGCCATTTAAATCTATATTGTACGCGCTTTGCATATACATTCTCATTTATCTTATTATCCTATTACTTGTCATCGTATCTCTTATAATCTTCTACTTTTATTTAGAGTATAACATGAGAAGACGTCTGTGAATCACAAATCGCAATAGAATACAAATTGAGGATTAACAATTTTTCTTAAAAACTTTTATTTTTACATTTCTTCTTCGCTAATTGCTATCAAATTCTGTCTGTTATTAATTTTTTTTTTTTTTTTTCCTTCCTTCGCTCGTACACCTTCGTTTACCTAACGTTCGTTAGACATGGCTTCTCGAGCAAAGGAAATCGTGTCCAGAAACGGAAACGTGTTGAAGAAAGTCGGGCAGACGGTGCTCTTTGTCACCAATTGTCCAATTGTTTCCCCTTTTCTCTTCTCATCAAAAGAAAGGAAAAGAAAGGAAAAAAAAAAACGAAAAAGAACGAAGAAAAAGAAAAAGAAAAACGGCGAAAAAGGAAGGAAAAATTTTCGTGTTGACGTGGCCCTTTGTCAAAATTTGCACATTTTTATTATAAATTAACGAGCAATTGGGGGAAATGGAGAAGAGAGGCAAGAGGAGGAAAGGTTTTAGAGAGAAGAGGAGAGAGAGAAGGGGGGGGAAAGGAAGATTGACAAACGTGTTTGTTGATGAATTTTAGCATCCCTCGGCGGTTTCGCGCTCGGCATCTCGCTAGGTTGGAATTCCAAGGCCAGCATAGTGCTGAGGAATTACGTCGATGCCTCCGCGACTGAAATCGGGCTGATCGGGGGCATTTTAAACGGTGGCATTTGCATAGGGGCGATCCTGATACCGTTCATTGTAGGACGAATATCCAGAACGAACATCTTGTTCTGGACGATGCCTGTCCTCATCCTCACGTGGACCTTGATGATCAGCAATCGTCGCCAGAAGGTGAGACTCGTCGACAATTATATCCAAAGATAAAAGTAATACAATTTTTCGTACATTTTTCGACATTTGAAAATAAGGTATTGAATTGATTCGAAGTTTTGACGTGAGTCTTTCGAGTTTTAAATTCTTTTTTTTTCTTCAAGAAACATCATATCATCAGGAGAACAATTACTTTGAATCATTTTTATATAATTACAGGACAATTCGTTATTGGTGGCGCAATAATTAAAGAATTATATTATACAAGAATTTTAGAAACATAATTTTAAATATTTGACGATAAATGTGCAGTAGTATATGGACGACGTGAGATTTTCTTATTTTATTAAAAGCACGTTGAAATGAATATTGCATGTGAAATCTAAAGAATATAGATGGATTTTGAGTGTTCAGAGTGTTCATCGTCCAAAGGATTAACCAAAATTCACATTTTCTCCACATGTTGCTGTGAACTTTACCATTTCTCGTTATAGCGTTTATAAAAATGTCGAAATTTTAAAAGAGAAAGATCGTTTCAATGTTCGAAAAAAGCTAAAAAAAATGTGCGATCCAGTCCAGAAAATATGCGATAATTTAATTTGTTTAGAAAGAAATTTTTATACGAAGCAACGTAAAAAAGATAATAAATGTTAAATGTTAACGTATTTTATCTTTGTAACCAGATTGTAATTTATAAACACGAGAAAATACAAACGAAACGAGATAACGAGATAGGATCACGATAACTTCAGGCCGAATAATTTTTTAAATTGTCCTTCTCTCTTTTTGAAAATATTTTTCAAAATGTTCGTCGTCGATATAACGTTCTTTCGTCTCTTCTCTTTTGCACCACCAACAACGAACCAAGGGAATCGTGGCCACGAATACGGTTCATAACCGTTATCGTGTCGATCCTATAACCATAATCGTATCGGCTCTATAACTGTTATTATATCGGTCTTAGAGGATAGCTTTTTTTAAACAATCCTCGTGATATTTAATCCATTCACCGTCACCATTCTCTCATGAAAAATTACAATTTTTCAAAAATAATGCTTGAATAATTACGATACTTTTAAGTTTGGAAAATGAGACGTATCGTATAATTATCGTAAGTATCGCAACGTCGATGAGAACACTTGTAATTTTATTCTTTTTTTATTCTTTTTCTAGGTAGTGTTATTCCTGATTGGAAGATTGATCTGCGGCATCTGCGGCGGTGTATCCTGCGTTTTGACGCCAATTTACGTGGCTGAAATAGCGAGCAAAGAAATCCGTGGACGTTTGCTCGCCTTTTTCCAACTCCTAGTCAACTGTGGCGTGATGTACGCTTTCTACGTGGCTCATGCAATCGACGAGCAAAGATCTGTATGGAGGTATATACACGAATATCTTATTTTTAAATTGCTCTGATGTGTGTGTGTGTGTGTGTAAATTATTATGCATTATACATACAGGTGAGAAAAAGTGATGTTGTAAAGGTAAATTGTACAACTAAAATGGAAATGAAAAACATGCGTAAACTTTGCTTAAAAATGTCCCATTTTAATCTCTCGAGGCAAATATCTGGAAAAATGAGTGTTTGAAACAAAAGTTGTCCAACGTCGAGGGAATAGATCGTGTTTTCGTATATCTTCGGAACAAAAATAGAGGGAAAAAAGATCGAAACTTATTATTTATTCATTTAATGTTACGCGGGGAATTAATATATTCGTGAGATATTTTTAAAGGATTCGATTCTAAAGGCCAAATAAATACAAAAGCTGGTGTGCAAAAATGGTTGAGACTTATTTATTAAATATATCTTTTTGTATGAATATTTACGAATATTCATTTTTATATCATTGAAATTTCCATAATTTCCATAATCAATTTGTCTATGATAAAGAAAACTTTAACTTTTATAATTAATTCTCCGTCGTTGAATCTATTTGCAACAAAATCTTTCTAAGAAACAATATCAAGAATATTACAAATGGTATAATGATATCTTTTTTCATTTGATATATTTTATAAAATCTAAATTACCAATTATACTTGTTTAATTTTACGTAAATTTAACATTCCAGCAAATAATACATTCGAATATATTTCACTAGTTTGTTCGATATCGAGGAAAGTTTAACGCATCGAAAAAATGTACATCGAAATAATTATTGAAATTATTTTGTCACGCTTTCTTAACCAATATCGATCCACATAATTATAGGAATAACATTTGTATTAATAAACATTAGCATTTAATTTAAAATTTAACAAACAACAAATTTACTGTTAAACATTGCCATCGATAATTAATTTATCGAAATTGTACTCGTTTACGCAAATACTCGTTTATCCCTCGATCACGATATTATTAACAATCATAGATGAATCGTACGATACGAGTTCTTCTCCGAAGAACCGCGCGCAAATCAATCGTTTCTGTTTAAAGGTACAGCGCAATTTGTGGCCTCGCGTGTCTCTCGATCGCCCCGACAAAATTATTACCCGAGAGCCCGCTCTACTATTTGTCGAGGAACGACGAGATCGGTGCAGAAAAATCCTTGAGATGGTATCGCGGCAAAACTTACGACGCCCAGCACGAAATCAACGAAACGAAGCGTCTCGTTCTCTCTCATTCGAAAAAGGTACGAACGATTTTCTATTTTCTTCTTCTATGGAATAATACGTAATAACAATAGGCTGTGGCTCGCTGTTAACGGAAGAAACTGTTAACCTTTCCACTACATGTAACGTCTATATAAACGTTTTCCGCATGGATGGACATTTATTCGGTGCGAACAACACCGTTCGTTCCTTATTCGATGTATTTCAATTTACGGTATGGTATTTCTGACCACTGTCAAGTTGAACGGTTAATCAAACTTTTGATCGCATTATTAAGATAGAAATTTTTCGTATATTTTTTTTCTTATTCGAAATTATGCAATGAGGAATGTTATGTTGTATGTAATGAGAGAGATGGAATTGTAAATGTAAAATACGATATTGTTTTCATTACATTTGGATGGCAATCATAATTGAATTTTTTTGATATCAGTTTAGCCTACGATTGTTGAAAAATCGTCGAATACTGCGGTCAATCGTGACGTGTTTCGGAATAATCTTGGGCCAACATTTGTGCGGCGTCAACATGATGATTTTCTACGCCCTGATGCTCTTCGAAACCACTGGTTCCGGTGAACTGACCGGAAGCGAACAGACGCTGGTCGTCGGCGCCGTTCAAATATTAGTATGTCTCTTGGCCGCGTTCCTGGTCGACGTACTTGGACGTCGAATTCTCCTCACCGTCTCCTCCCTTTTCATGGGATTGTTCCTCATATTGCTAGGTAAACCGTTCTATCAAATAAATTTCTCTCGCGAAATATTCGTATTCAAACGGATGGAAAAATTATCGAACGAAATATGTACCGGTTTCACAACATAATAACAATTGAGAGAAAATAATACGAGTGTAACTTTTGAATGTAAATTATAATCATTTTTGCAGTTGTCTGTTTAACGTATTGATTTTACGTACTATTAATATATATTTGTTTCTACGTATAATTATTACACTTTCGAAATTAATAGGAATTGAAAATTTGGTAATTATACGTTATTATACGTATTTTTACAAATGTAAATTCTATAAATATCGTGTATAATATTTTGTTGTATTCGTTAACTGATCGAGAAAAATGATTCGTTCGACGAGGCGAATATCTGCGATGCTGGCTTTAATCCAGCTTAAAATACGACCTCTTCTGCAATACTTCCGGAACACGCGCATATAGTATTAAGAAATCAAAATAGATCGTGTATCAATTGGTTCGATCATTCGTTGGCAATTTAAAAACGTATCTCGCGCTTGACATTCAATAACAATTCGTCACTTTCTTGTTATTTTAACATCTGTTTTATAATATTTATTACTTTTAATATCGTTTCACGATATTTATGCGGATTTTTATGTAAAATTGAACTCTCGTAAACATTAATGAAAAAAAAAGTTTGTTTGTTTCGTTTAAACACGCGCTATAACTTTGGACAATTTGCATTTCCTTTCATATACGTTCTTACGTTATAAATATCCACGTCGATCCAGATATCGTATCGTAGTTTCAACATAAAAATCCTTTTCCTTCCTGAGAATTTTAAAAAAATATCTTCAAAAACGATCAATTGTTGCCTATCCAATTCCAAACGAGATTATTTCTAAGACAAATATTATTCCAAATTTCAGCGCATCATCGACACGATCGGAACACAAACCCATGACCCAAGATCAATTTCTCGAAAAAGAAAACACACACGCGCCATCTCATCAACTCGAGCGAACGCAATTCTATGAAAAACACGTAACACGTAACGCGAGACAGAATTTTCTTTCATCCTCCGTTTCATCTGTTCCAGGTTGGTTCTTCAGTTTACGCGACAGCGATCCCGAATACGACGACATCTACTTCTGGATGTCACCCACTTGGATCACTCTGATCTTCGCGGCGTTCAACCTGGGTCTTGGGCCAATTTCCTGGTCTTTGTTAGGGGACACGCTCCCGGAAGAGCTGAAGACCTCGGTCGTCTCGATGGCGGTCGCATTCGGATGGCTGATCTCGATGATGGGCACCCTCACTTTCGACGAGATGATCATATCTCTGGGCAGCACCAAAGTTATGTGGCTGTCCGCGGCCATATGCTGGCTGATCGCCCTGTTCTGCGCCATCGTGGTCAAAGACAACACCGGGAAAAGTTTGATCGAGATACAGGATGAATTTCGCATCGAGTCGAACGCAGGATTAGAGGAGACCTGATGCTCCTTGTTGATCTAGGGATATCTGAATTTTCTATTTTTAAAGCTTGGATTAAGGGCGACGAGCTGATTTCTTGTATTTTATTGGAACAAGTGGCACGCTGAGAGAATTACGAAGATTTTCTTCTTTTTTTTTCTTTTGCTACTAGATTTGTTAGATTTATAGAAAAATAGAAAAGCATAGTGCGCGAAATAATATTTGGACCGATAACGCATTTTCAAATATTGATCGCTCGATTGCAGATTCTCGATCAATAATGATTACGCTACTTTGGGAAAATTGTCGAGGAAAATTAACGTAATTTCATCTTAATTTTTAACATCTTGCTTCTAATTTGAATTGAAAATTTATTAAATCTCTTTTATCTCGATGATTCGGTTTTACAAAAGAATGTTTTGATTTTTCTATCTTTTATGAAAATTTCGGCGATAAAAAATTTTTTGAGCATGAAATAGGAAAAGAATGTGTATGCATAAATAATTATTCTCTCTAGTTTGCGTTACACCTCGATTCGTAAATCCTTCAAATTGACGCGAGATTACATATCATTGTTTTAAACGCCATTGGATTGTAAATCTTCCAATTAAACATTTGCTTATTCGCTCGAAATTGTAACTACCGTATTATCGGATTTCTTTCCCGTGAATAATCGATACAGTGCTTCAACTTTTTCCATCTTTTTTATCGAAACGAAAAGTAAATTACAATGACAATACGATATACGAGGAATAACGATATAACAATTGATAAATCTTAACAACAAATTGCAATGTAAGAATATATGAAAAGAAAAAAAAAAAATACATCGATCTTATTTTATCCAATCTCGTCTCATATCAAGAATTTTAATCGAAATTAACAAATGGAACGATTTAAAACGACGTAATGCAGAAGAATATATAATATAGATGTGTATATATATGTGTGTGTGTGTGTGTGTGTGTGTATAAGAAAAAAAGAAATAAAAATTACAATTATTTAACATTTTTCTGAAAATTAAACACAAGTTTCAGATAATACAGATGAAAAAAAAGAGACTCGAAATATTTGAACGATTATTCTTTGTTAAACGAATATATATCATAAATGATATCAGGCGATGGTAAATTTGGAACGGTAATCGAACAATGACCTTCGATTCGTGATATTCTCCATCACCTTCGTGATATTCTGATCCATAATCTCAATGGGTTAACGAGAACATTGACAAGCAGCAGACTCTGTATCGGATGGAATGGCACGCTGGTTTTGTTGGCCATCGTCCAGAAAAATGTCAAAGAAGATTCGCGCATGTATTTTGTTTCGCGAGTACGTGCAACAACAAATCCTCGTGCGGGCTGCTTTTGACAAAAATAACATGGCTAAGGGGATCGAAACGATTTCATTAAGGATCTCGTTATATTTATCCTGTGTATACTTTGATATTTTCCAAAGTTTTAAATAATCGATATATTCCATGTGGAAAACATGGAAGAGTTATATAATAATCGCATCAAATGTATTGTAGGAATATGCGAGCAAATGCAATTTAATATTAATAAACATAATATTACAGTAGTTGAGTTAAAAGAGAAAAATAGTTGTTGTCTCTTGGAAAGCAAAAAATAAATTCGATATTTATTTATTTGTTTATATTTTATAATTGCATTCATTGGTATTGAAAAATTCCAAGAATGAATGCAATCTGAAAATATTTAATTTCGATCGTACTACGTGATGTACTAGAATAATAATTTGAATTGGATCGATAATATATTTAATATTGTCATTTAAAAATTGTTTATCGATTTGTGACTCGAGAAAACGAGGATAAAATATTTCCTAACTTATTATTATTAAATAGAGGATTAATTTTTCTATCTCTGATAATTAATATTTAGAATTTAAATTAATAACTCGTGCGATTTCTCTTTGGAAAGTACAACTTTCATTAGTAATTAATACGTGTATATATAGTGCATTTCCAATAATTTCTTATAGAATAATTCTTAGATTCATTTTCCTTCGATAATTCGTTATTTCATACATTTCGTGTAATCCTGTACTACTGTGTCTTTAATTAATTCGTTCATCGTGTTTAAAACTACTCATTAAAATTCATGAAATTCAATTCTTTACTCACCATAACGATTTTTCTTCCAAATTCATATCAAATCTCTTGAAGCTGAAAGGGAAAAAAATAATAAAATTGTTAATTTTCTTTTTTGTCGTTACAGAGATAAAAATTTTAATAAAATTATGAAAGAGAATTAATTAATAAATATGAGAGGAGAATAAAAATGATTGAAAATCTGAAATATATTTAATACAAATATATACAAAAATCAATAAATATGTATAACTTCATAAATCGATAAATCAATTTTCATTTTATCTTTTCATTTCATCTTCATCAATTTATTTCTAGTTACCATCAAACTTATTGATTTTTTTCTCTGATATACTCCACTTTCATATTATCGCAATAATATTTATTAATTTTGCTTTAAATGAATTTCTTCCATTTATATCGCTTCTTTAAAATACGGAAAACATCGTAGAAAGAAATTATTTTTCTCCCCCTTTTTTACATGTACTTCACATTTACAATATTACGCTACTACTGAATCATTACAGGCGTTTCTCTTGGACGATTTAAAAATTCGCATAAACCTGGATTAGGAGTCTGAATTTAGTAAGAGATTCAAAATAAAAATAATATTTTGCATTCTTTCTAATTTATTTTACATAATTTATTTATAGAGATGAAATAATATAAAAGTGAGAAAATAAGTATATAAAATGGAAATATATATATATATAAAAAAAAATAATAATATATAAATAAATCAAAATTTGAACAATGCATCATAAATACATATGTGTAAAAGTCAGGGATCAAATTTATAAATGATATAAAATTTAACATAAAATTTTTATACTTAAATGTATTATTTGAAATTTATGTCAATATATAATAATAAATTCAGTAAATATTAAATATCAGCCGATTATATTAAATGATGTTGTACATCATCAAAGTTTTTACAATAATCTCATCGATCATTCGATCAATATTTTATATATTTCAGAATATTCGATATTTGATATAATTATTTAAAAATTGAAAATTCAATAGATACTTTAAATTTAATTTGATAATTTAAATATAGAATTCGTAATTTTACATTTTTTCAATTAAAAGATATTAGCGTTCATAGATAGAAATAGATGAACAAAAAAATTGAAATAAATATATATTAATAGTCTATATACCAAATATTATATCTAATATTTCAATGTTAGTCACAAAATTTATAAATAGGATAAAATTTATATCTACGTGAAATTTGTGAATTTAAATTTCCTACAATATTGAATTCAGGTCAAGAGTTATATATAAAAATGAAGAGGAACATAAATTCAGAATTTAGACACGAGGATAAAAAGTATCGTAAAAATTTGTGAGGTCAATAAGCGAAAATATCAGAGTATTTCACGAAACGAGTTGAAATTCATACACATCGCAAGATTTAAACTTCAAAATTTCGATTTTCTGCCAATATTGATTTCAAGTAAAAAGATATATTTAAAGAAAAGAATAAAATTACTTAATTAAATAACTTGAATAAAGTATTAAAACGATTGTCGAATACATTATTTTACTCGATTGGATCTTATTTTATATAAAACAAACAATCTTAAATAACATTATATATTTTTACCTTATTTTTCACAATAAAATGAAATAAAATGTCAGTAAATTTTTTACAGTAATAATGAATCGGAAAAGGCAATTTGAAATTCAAGAATAAAAATTGCAAAATTCATGTCAGGTTCGAACATTTTCTCGTGACAGAGATCGAAACTCGCGTGGAAATCGCGTGACATTTGGAAATTTCGATTATTACCGTGTCCCTGTATTTTAATCGTATTTGAGGAACATTTATTTGGTATTCGAGTATGTATTCGAGCTCGTTTATTCTGAAAACTGACACAACCACTTTTTGTACGAGAATTAAAAACATTAATCACGCTCAAAAGAAGAAAAAATGCTTTTATCTTTGTCCTATTCACCACGTTATTCTGTTTACTATGAATTTAGATTGACATAATTAATTGTTCCGTTTCTTTGCGATAATTGCAATAATTAAAAAGCGTGGTCAAAGTTAATGAATCAAAGTGCAATACAAATAACAATTTCAAGGGAATATTCGCTATAAAATTATCAAAATTATATTCTAAATAATCTAAATTTCTTGCTATTGTTACTTGTACTTTTATAAAAGATAAAATCGAAATGATTTCACTTCTTTAAATTGATGTTTTGCTAAAAATATTGCCGCATATACATATGACTCACTATGCTTTTTGTACTAAAAGTGCATGCTTCAACGAAGATATATAGTTTTGAAATAGATATCAACACACAGCGGATCAAATATCGTATACGTATTTAAAGCACAGATTATTGATTATGCAAAATGCTTTTTTCTTCGATGTGTGATTATTATCTAACAGATTTTTTTTTTATTTCCAGGACGCATCTTCTTGGAAGGGTGAAGGTATCGAGTATTATCCCTCTTTAAACAAACATTGCTCAGCCAAGCAGTAGTAATCGGAGCAGACACAAAGTCAGTATTTCTTTACTTATTTTTATTTTTCTACTGTTTACTTATCATTAATACATTCATTAATCCACTTTTTACAGAAGATAATAAATCATTGATTGTTTCAGGTGAATTTGGAATTTGTTCGAATTGAATTTCACGATAATTATACAGACACGAATAATTTCAATGACCACGAAATACGTTGTCCAGTATTCTCCAAACAACTTTTTCTCATAGATAGAACATCTCTTTTCTAAAATCCAACGTGATCCAAATTTAAGTCAAATTTTATGAAGGTTCTTACAAAATAAATGTATGTATCTGTTAAATATACCATTAATATTATTATTAATATTCGTAGGGCATTTTTTAAAGGATCGATTGCACAAATAAAAATGTTAGTCAAGGCTTATTTATTTAACTTTAATAAGCAATTCAAAT